TTGTCCCATCTGTGCTCAGAGAATTTATTTGGCACATTTCTGTTGGTATCCCTTTTTAAGGTGTTAGAAACTATGGGGAATACACATAAGCTTTGTGTTTCTCAATAATTTCAGTTCACTAACATTCTCTTAAAGTGTTCACTGTTGTAAACAGAGCAATACAGAGCCCTGGGCAACACAAAAAATTACTTCCTGAAGTATATACCACAGTACTTCAAAAGTTCATGGAAAAATAGAATTAAGAGATAATACAAATCTTTCCATGAACTTTTTGAAGTACCCTCATAGACATACTGAAGCTATTGCTTATGTTGTGTAAGTGGTCAAGGTATGAAAAATGCTTCCTCCCTTCTGCCTAACTTTATTTTATGTATTTTATTTTTTTAATGGCTTACTGAGTTTTTTTTCTTTAATGTTTGAAGAGAAAGAATTTCTCTCAAATTTTTGCATATATCAGCTAAAGGTAATTACCATAGATATGCTTTTCTCATTTTTACTGTCAAGTTGCCTAGTGTTAGTGTTTCTTTTAGAACAAATAGTCTGTGACCTGTTAATTACAATTGAATTGAATTGTTATTCTAGAGATTATGGTTTGCTGACCGAGAATTCAGATGCAAAATTATTGTTTTTCTGGTTTTGCATTAATGGAAGTTTGAAATACACATTAACTTCTTCATGAGTCTCATGTTTCCTTACATGTTTTGGAGATAATCTTGACTTACTGGAAATCTCAGTGTTTTAAATGAGGCCAGATCTTTTAAGCAGGTGGTTATGTAAATACATGTGAATATTTGTGTGTATGCATGTGCTTTTGAATATATTCTCCCTCAATCTTTTTTTCTTCTTTTTGTGTTGAAACAATAAAATAGGATTATGCATGAGAATTAAATGACGTAGTCAAGATTTTAACATAACTGGCATCACATTGGAATTTATGAATGGTTTACTTTATAGTATGTATTTTAAAAATACTATAGCATTACTTAATACTAGAAAGCTTAACATATGTTTTCGAGTATTCTACAATACAGTTTTTAAAAATGTAAGCATACATAGTTTGGCATTCAAAACCCACAGGGGTTTGAGCTCTGAATGTTTATGGTGTATGACTCAGACTAGTTCTAACAGGAGTTTCTTCTTGTATTAAAAGGAAAAAACAACTACCAGATTTTAACTAAGGTATTAAAACTGCTGCTGCATTCAGTGCCACCAACAAGAGCTCCATTGTTAGTGAGAAAAGATCTACCCCTGTGGTGCCCCGCCCCCACTCCCTGGAGGAAGGGCGCCCCACCAGGGAAGAGGACTCACTTCCAGCTGATACATTTGCTCAGTTGTGGTGAATAGAAAATAATTTAACAGTACACTGCCATACAGAAATACAGAATTAGTTCATGAGATGTTATTCCCTATTCCATAAAAATGTATTCTCTATCTGGGGTCATCTTGAGTGAACTGTACGTCTGGTTTCCTAGAATGTCCTGCACTGGGCTGGATGTCCAACCGCACCCTCAAGACCTACATTGGAGCCAGAGAGAAATACAGTATTTCATCAAATCCAGGATACCATTAATTGTAATGCTTCTAATTTCAGACATGTTAAAATGTGAAAACAATGTGTCTTAGAATTAATGAAATATGGTAAATAGGGGTTCCTTGCGTTAGCTTTTGGGTTACTTCTACGAGGCCGATAGCTTTATCTTCATGGGAAGTTATAAGGTAGCATTCTGTATGCCCATCAGGAGACTTATTTATGCATACACCAAAGGATAAAGGATAAGGATGCTAAAATGGCTGAATGTATGGCATTTTGTAATAAATAATTTCTCATTCTGCTAGATACTCTAGTTGGCTGTTCAGTTGTTGTTTCTCTGTTTTGTTTTTTGTGTTTTTTTTTTCAGTTAATTTCTTTTTGAACTGATTTTCCCCCATATCATCTACTCAGGCAAAATACCACTGACTGTTCCTCTGCACTTTATTAGTAGCTCCTGCCTGACATGCATCTCCATTCCTCCACTAGTAGCAGTTGCCCACAGTTTTAGATTGAACCTAACTAAGGGGTATATAAGGAAGGAGATCCATAGGATTCAGGCCAAGTCAATCTTACTGACTTTGTGCTGCAATTCTAGCAACTCTGATTATATCAAAGTCCTAAAAGAGGAATTTAGAGGTGGGCTAGGCCCCTGGGCATTACAATGCTTGAATTTCCCAGTCCGAGGCCATGGAACATTGCTATAGGAAGTCACAACAGTGTGCAAATTGAATCCACCACCCACTTAAGCTAATCCCTTACTTTGTTCTGCTTGCCTTTTGTAGATATCTGGTTGGCCCTCTCAATATAAATTTTCTTTATATAGATTCCTATTATAAAGCATTTACAGAAAGGTCAAAAAATAAACAGACCAAAAAAAAAATAAGGACCAATCATAACCTCACACAGAGAAAATCACTGTTAAAACTTCCTTATACATCTTATTTCATTTGAAATATTGTATTATAATTATATAATTGTTTACTTGTCTGCCTCCCCTCTAGGTTGTGAACTTCTCCTAGATTTAAGAAGTTTTATTTACTTTTATCCCAGGTCTATACTAAGTGCAAGATATAACATAGTAACTTACTACCGATTTTTGACTTCATGGTCTGAGAAACTGAGGTGTGTGTGACATAGGCTGCCTCAAGTTGCCCTCACTCTTCGGAATTCATTTGTTTATTTATTCCTTCATTTAGTCAAGCAGGCATGATCCTATTTTTGCTGTAAAAATGTCTAAGTGTGTGGGCTTTGTGCAGTTGAGGAGTTACAAGAAAAATAGTCTTCCTAAAAAAG